GTCAGTTCTAAAATTCAAAGGTAGAGGACCAATCAGTGTGTGTACTTTAACTAAATAAAAAAAGCGACTGAACTTAGGCCTATTTAAATTATATATATATATTTTCCCCTCAGAGATCAGGATATATAGCCCCATTAGTATCATCTTGCATTTCATTTCTTTTTCCAGATCCTTTTCTATTCATTATGCGATATAAAATAGACATCTGCATTCATTTTTCTGACGTCTGGATTTTTGCCCCTTGCCAGACTAAATTCCTTACCGTGCACTAACTTCCAAAGCTAAGAGCAATATCAGCAGTCCCTCTTAACCTAAAATATACAATGTGAAAATGCTAAAAGAAATTGTTGTGGGTCCAAGACACTTCATTAGCATCAGTTCCATCTCCTTTAAACTGTGTCTCGTGAAGCGGGGGAGGTGGAGGGAATATTTCGGACTTTAAAAATGAAGTTTACTGGAAAAGAAGGGAGTTAGGAAAAGAGTGGAACCAAAAAAAAGGGGGAGTTAAGAGGTCTACATTTTTGTATTTCAGTCTCTTGGTCATCTTTTTGCAAAGGGTTCCGACTTGCTTAAGAAATGGCACACCCCGGCAGCTTCCCAGCTTTGTGTATTCCATTCGCAGAGTGCCTTGTGCATATGAAATTGTACTCGCATCAGAATTTGCTGGATCCAGATCCTCTTGAAAAGATAGCATTCCACAGAATTCAGTTCTCTTGAATTAATTCCCAATCTGAAAACTGTCCGAGGGATTATGTCCCAAAAAACCTACCGTGTCCCTGTCTCTTTATGCTTCGTAGCAGTGTGCAATTGGATAGTATAGCTCCTATTTTAATTTTTGGCTTTTTTTTTTCTTCTTTTGGTAAGGTGACACGCGTTGCGATGTATCTTTCTGATTAAGGTGAGGAAGCTTTTTGTCTGTTCTCAAAGCACAGGTTGATCCTTTTCCATCCTCCTCCCCACTCTTCTTAAAATGGCTCTCCATTACAGGACATTTGCCACCACCTTCTGGAAGGAAGTTACCCTTAGCAATACGGTTCGTGCAGTTTGCGATCCAGTCCCCTCCAGGTAGAGCACGCCTGTGCATGTAGGCTTTACCAGCACATGTGCAATAGACCACACATGCATTTCTTCCCTCCACTGAATTCAAAGAGCGCCGTAGCACCTGTAAGATGCCTTGGATGCTCATGTAATAAACAGCTGTCAAAAGAGCATCGCAAAGTAAATCAGAGGTGGTGTTTGTGAAAAGCAGCATTTGCTAAAGTTACAGCGCAACCGTGATTTCTCAACCTTATTCCTATGCCAGGAGGAGGGGGGCTGGTAAACAAACAGGAAGCAATAAAAGAGATGTTGATGGGTCGTCTTCTTTTTTATATATATAAATATATAGAGAGAAATGTATATGAAATTGTTTGGCTTTTCGTTTAGTGTCCTCTTTTTTTTTCCCCTTTTAAAAAGTGTAGATTTGGGGTGTTAGCTCATTTGGTTTTTATCTATTTATTAATCAAATTTGTATAGCCACCCATGTCACCCAAAGCTTTGGTTACTATTGGGTTTTTTTTCCTTCTTACTGCAATATGGTTAAGTGGGAAAGTTCTTCCCTTTCAATTAAAACCTAATAATTAATGTGCACTGTTATGGAAAAGTATGTCTTACACCTTTTCCAGCGTTTTGGACAAAGTGATTGGGGTTTTTTTTTTAATTGGTGGTTTGTTTGTTTTTGAACAAAAACTATCGCTTTGTTTTTGAACATATTTTGAACAAAAGTGTTAAGGGGATGATTTTTTTTTCCCCTTAATTTTCATAGGCACAAAACCAGAAGAGAAATTCCCAACTCTTTGCGCTTAAACGTTTCATTATGATTATGATTATTTTATTTTTTATTATTATTCTTATTATTATTATGGTTGGTTGTACAGCCAGCCAGATGTTGCTATGATTGAGAGAGAGAGAGAGAGAGAGAGAGAGGGTGGGTTATGGGAAAAAAGAGAAATATTGATTACAACTTTTGGGAAGGTTCCACCTGCCTAATTTCAACTAATCACCAACTTTGATCTTAAGTGGCTTTGAGAGGATCGTTCTAAAAGGACATTTAAAAATTAAGAACATACATTTACATTCTTCCAGCTCTTTCTACTTTCCTACCCCAATACAAACAACTAACAGGAAGCCAAAAGTAATAAATACCCCACTTGTTTTAATATTTGAAAAAAAATCACAAAAAAGACAGAAAGAAATCACACATTTTCTTTCTTTCCTCCCGCTGGTACCAGTTTTGAACGTCGTTCAAAAACAAAATATAGTACTATAAAATAATTTTGTACTGTATTTATTGTGTATAACGATTTTTTAAAAGAATTATGTACATTTAGTACTTCTGTGTAAATTAAATTGCTCTTTTTAAAAATGGTATAGAAATTGGCTTGGCTTTTCTTGAATGAAAGGAAGAAAAAAACTGCTTTGGGAAAGAACCAAAAAGTCCACGGAGAAGGACTCCTGCGTGGGTCTTCCACAAAGAGCAAATGGCAGTGGGTCTGACCTTACTGCGGACAACCTGATCTTTTTTTACGTGTACGCTTGTACGTCAGAATCAAAGCTGGCCGTTGTTTTCTACAGCCCTGTGTTTATTCTGATTGCAGAATTCAGATTGCTGATGCAAAATCTGAGGCTTGTTTAATTTGGAAATGGCTACTGATGGACTTGGCAATAACCCTTACAATCGTTCAGAGTTTATTATAGTAGAAATGGCTGGATCAGTACTTCTGAAATCAAGGAGAGAAGGCAGGTCCCATCCAGGGAAAGGCAAAAAAACCAGGTGAGCTTTAATTTCATATTTGGATGTGCTTTGAGGGAAAACATAGGTATTCTAAAGCAAAAAAAAAAAAAAAGGAATACAAATACCAGTGTAGCTCTAATTTTAACAGTCTCTAACTTAGGCTGAACTGCTATCATTTTCAAAAATTCTCTGGTTGACACCTTCACCTACTACTACTACAGGCAGTCCTTGACTTAACGACCCCAATTGAGCCCAAAATTTCTGTTGTTAAAGGAGACATTTGCTAAGTGAGCTTTGCCCCATTTTACGACCTGTCTTGCCACCGTCGTTAAGTGGATCACTGCAGTTGATGAGTTAATGCCGCTTGTTGAGTGGCTTCCCCCTTGATTTCGCTTGTCGGAAGGTCGCAAAAGGGGATCCCATGACCTTGGGACACCGCAACGGTCATAAGTACGAATCAATTGCCAAGGCTCTGAATTTTGATCACAGGATCGTGGGGCTGCTACGAAGGTCGCAAGTGTGAAAAATGGTCGTAAGTCCCAATGCCGTTGTAATTTTGAACGGTCACTAAATGAACTATGCTGTGGACCTGTGCTTTCTGCCGCCTGTTTTCAGCCTGCGCCCGTGTTCGGCAATGAAGGGACGGAGGGCAGAAACGACATCCTGCAGAAAGCACAGTTCCACAACACACAGTCCTTTCGGCACTTCCAAGAAGGCTCCACCCCCATTTGCACCACTCAGCTGACTCTGAGGATACAGACAAAGCTCCAAGTGGCCTCAACGACTCTCAAAGGATGCAAATGACCAGCTGTCTGCAAGGAGTATAAATCCTTCCGTTTCCCCGCCATCCAGCCAGAACTGATGAAGCTTCTTGGATGAGAAGTGAAATCATCATCATCATAAAGTTGGAAGGGACCTTGGAAGTCATCTAGTCCAACAGCCTGCTCAGGCAGGAACCCTATACCATTTCAGACAAATGGCTGTCCAGTCTCTTCTAAAAGACTTCCAGTGTTGGAGCATTCACCGCTTCTGGAGGCAGGTTGTTCCACTGGTTAATTGTTCTCACTGTCAGGAAGTTTCTCCTTAGTTCTAGGTTGCTTCTCTCCTTGATTAGTTTCCATCCGTTGCTTCTTGTCCTGCCTTCAGGCGCCTTGGAAAATAGCTTGACTCCCTCTTCTCTGGGGCAGCCCCTGGGAGATTGGAGTACTGCTATCATGTCCCCCCTCATCCTTGTTTTTATCTGTATATATTCCTTATCCAGGTTGACAGTTCCCCACCCCATCCTGAGATGAACTCCCCAAAAACATCATGGTCCTTGGTAATAATAATAATCGTCGTCATCATAAAGTTGGAAGGGACCTCGGAGGTCATCTAGTCCAACCCCCTGCCCAGGCGGGAAACCCTATACCATTTCGGACCAATGGCTGTCCAGTCTCTTCTTCAAAACTTCCAGTGTTGGGAGCATTCACCGTAGCCTCCAGTGATGGAGCACTTCTACTCTTGCTTTTACTTTTTTTCCTCTCCAAACCACATGGTGGCATCAGAGACCTTTAACTGCCAAACCCACATTCCTTTCACTTGGGGGGGGGAGGGAGGGCTGGGTGTTTAGTGTGCATCATTATTTTTTTTGTGCATTGCTTATTCTCCAGTTCTTGGCCATCCCGACGTTCTCCTCCCTTCCTGGATAATTTATGCTAATGTATTCTTCTCCCTGCACGCCTCTTGACAGCCAGTTTCTTTTCATGCCAGAGAACTCTTGAGATATTCTTTGGGACCTCAGAAGTTGGGGGGGAGGGGGCAAGGAGGGGGACAATCAAGATTTCTACAAACAAACCACCAAGAGGGATTTTCCATCTGAAAGCCAGTGACATTGGAGCGTGGATCTTTGTGTCCCGGTCTGCCCTCCGTCTGCAACATATTTTCTGCTGGCTGTTTGCCTCTTCCCACAGCCTTTCCGAAAACCAAGAGACGTATCTTACTCAAAGGCTGAAGAAGCCCACTGATTCCTCACCTAGAAGGATCCCTTTCGGCTCAGTTTTTCCGTTGCTCCTACGCCAAGGTGAAGCCCGCGTTTCTTTGACCTGAAGCTTGGGAGGAAGCAAGTTTGAGAACTGGAGGAACACTGAAGGACCATCAGCTTCTCCGAGGAAGATTCTCTCCCTCTCTCTCCAGGAAATCAAGTGTAACTTCTGGACTTCCTACCACCAGCTCACTACTAGAAGTTCAGAGACGTCGGAGACCTGGCATTCCTAAAAGATTGAAGAATCCATGAGCATGCTGGATACTCTTTAGTAGCTCAGTGTTTTTTGTTTTAGCTGGATCCAAGTCCCTGGATTTGACCGTTGGGCCTTGCCCATTGTTGACATTCTCTTTAAGGTCTATGGTTCTCTCTGCCAAAAGCTTTTCTTCTCTTTAGTTGTACCCTCCTCACCTGGGTTTAGAATTTATTGCCAAGGAAGCAGGCAGAGCGCCGTGTTCTCAGGGCAGCCAGTATGTTCAGCTGGATGAAAAAGAACGAGAAGAAGACCCCGGAGGTCATCCGTACCGTTACGGAGGGCCTGAAGGACCTCTACAAGAGGAAGCTCCTTCCCGTGGAAGAGTTTTACCGCTTCCACGATTTCCACTCGCCAGCTCTGGAGGATGCCGACTTCGACAACAAGCCCATGGTGCTGGTGGTGGGCCAGTACTCCACCGGCAAAACCACCTTCATCAAGTACTTGCTGGAGCAAGATATCCCCGGCAGCCGAATTGGACCCGAACCTACCACAGACTCTTTCATTGCTGTCATGCACGGTGAGACGGAGGGGATCATACCAGGCAACGCTCTGATTGTCGACCCCAAAAAGCCCTTCCGAAAACTCAACCCTTTTGGAAACACTTTTCTCAACCGGTGAGTATCCCAAATCCTTACCGGCCCCTTTCCATTTGCCAGTAGTTTTGAAGGTATAGCTTTGAAGGAAAGAGAAGTAGGGCAGTGGGCATCCATCATTCCAGAGCAGGGCGTTTTTATTAATTGCAGTATGCCACGTGGCACTGAACTTGGAAAAAATTGTGTGTGTGTGTGTGTGTGTGTGTGTGCGTACTGACCACATATGGACAAATTATCCACATGCAGAACTGCTTACCCCACTGCACGTACCTTCCAGGTTGCCATGATGGCGTGTATAGTGTTTCTCTTTTCCTTCCTCCCTAATTTTAATAAGTTAGATATGGTTGCCTCCAGCACTCTAGAATAGAATAATAACACATTTGGAAGGGACCTTGGAGGTCTTCTAGTCCAACCCCCTGCTCAAGCAGAAGAACGTATGCCATTCCAGACCACTGGCTGTCCAGTCTCTTCTTAAACACCTCCAGTGTTGGGGCACCCACAACTTCTGGAGGCAAGTCGTTCCACTGGTTAATTGTTCTAACTGTCAGGAAGTTTCTCTTTAATTCCAGGTTGCTTCTCTCCTTGATTAGTTCCCATCTACTGCTTCTTGTCCTGCCTTCAGGTGCTATGGAGAATAGATTGACTCCTTCTTCTTTGGGGCAGCCCCTCAAATACTGGAACATGGCTATCATGTCACACCTAGTCCTTCTTTTCAATCGACTAGACATACCCAATTCCTGCCACCGTTCTTCATATGTTTTAACCTCCAGCCCCTTAATCATCTTTGTCGCTCTTCTCTGCAATCTTTCCAGAGTCTGAACATCTTTTTTATATTGTGATGACCAAAACTGGATGCAGTCTCCCAAGTGTGGTCTTACCAAGGCCTTGTAAAGCGGTACTTTTAAACATCCTAACCACCCTGTGAAACAGATTAGGCAGGGAGATGTTGACAGTCCTGTAATTTAGCTTTCCGGTTGAGTGGGCTTAAAAAACTTAGGTCTCCACCACGGTGCCACACCCTAAGCCAGCCTCCCTTCAGCAGCTGTTCAATGGGCACAGTAGCAACTGTAATCCCTATAAAGCTAGAAGGCATCAGAGTGGCAAACTGGGCACAAAGAGCGGGCAGGTGACCCGGATCAGTACTACATCACTGATGTGTTGCAGTGGAATGCAGCAATTGGGGATCATAGGTTTTGGAGTCCAACACATCTGAAACGCACCTTAACCCCTGAGGGCAGGAGAAGAAGCAACAGATGGAAACTAACCAAAGAGAGAAGCAACCTGGAACTAAGGAGAAACTTTCTGACAGTTTAGAACAATTAACCCGTGGAACAACCTGCCTCCAGAAGTGGTGAATGTTCCAACACTGGAAGTCTTTTAGAAGAGACTGGACAGCCATTGGTCTGAAATGGTATAGGGTTTCCTGCCTGAGCAGGGGGTTGGACTCGATGACCTCCAAGGTCCCTTCCAACTTTATTATTATTATTATTATTATTATTATTATTATTATTATTATTATTATTATTATTATTATTATTATTATTATTATTATTATTATTATTATTATTATTATTATTAACGGAGCTGTTAGGGACCTTAGAGGTCTTCTAGTCTAACCCCCTGCTCAAGCAGGAGACCCTATGCCATTTCAGACAAACGGCTGTCCAGTCTCTTCTTAAAAACCTCCAGTGATGGAGCATCCACAATTTCTGGAGGGGAGCCGTTCCACTGAAGAATTGTTCTCACTGTCAGGAAATGTCTCATCATCATCATCATCATCATCATCATCATCATCATCATTATTATTATTATTATTATTATTATTATTATTATTATTGTTGTTGTTATTGTTGTTATTATTATTATTAAAAACAAAGAAAGTCCAGTTGCCTTTTGAAAAAACACTTTGGGGACATTCTCGATTATTGATCTCCTTCCTTGACTAGATTAGTATGCACCAATCAGATGAAATCAAGGTGTTGTCTGGATCCTGAAGTCCAATAAATAATAATCTCTGCTGTCAAAGAATATTAGAATGTATGCTAGGAGAAGGGAGAAACACTGGCCCGCAACAGTGAGTCAATTCACACCTTGCACTAAGCCCTAGTAAATTTATCTAGCTCCAGCATAATTAGTTATGTGAACCCATCCTATGTAATCAGGGTTTAGAATACGGTGCAAATCCAGTCAAGGCGGGTTCCAAAAACTTATTTTCATTTTTTTTTTCCACCATGTATCTCACCAACTGACGAAGAACTTCAGCAAAATCACTCTTGACTGCCGTTTGCCTCTGGAGAAGGTCTTGGGGACCCAAGTCCTGCTTGCCCCAAAGATGCTTTTTCCAAAGACAACTGGACTTTCTGTGTTTTTCCTTGAAGAGGTCTCGCTTCTCATCCAAGAAGCTTCTTCAGCTCTGACCGAATGGTGGAGGGTGGAAGGATTTGTATCCCTTGCAGGCTAATGACCAGCTGTCTGCAAGGGATATAAACCAGAATAGTCAACCTTGGCTCTTTTATGACTCGTGGACTTCAACTCCCAGAATTCCTGAGCCAGCCATGCTGGCTCAGGAATTCTAGGAGTTGAAGTCCACGAGTCGTAAAAGAGCCAAGGTTGACTACCCCTGATATAAACCCTTCCCTCCTCCACCATTCAGTTGGAACCGAAGAAGCTTCTTGGAGGAGAGCGCGAGATGTCTCCAAGGAAAAACAAAGTCCAGATGCCTTTGGGAAAAACACCTTTGGGACCTCCAGAGAACGGAAAACTCTGGGATCCGATGCCTCCGGTTAGTTTGAGGAGAGCTCCATTTTTAGCATATTTGTTTACAAAGGGTGGGCCGTGCTTCTTCCTCTGTCAAGTCGTTTGTAAAACGTCAACTCCACCCTGGGCACCACTCAAATTTGGCAGCTGTTGCCGCCATTCCGACTGGCTTTTAGCTCTTCCCCCGCCAAAGGGACTCTCAGCTGGGACTCCAGAACTGGATTTAGACTTCACAAAAGCAGTAGAGGAGATGAATTTTGAAGAAGGGAAGAGCCTACGTAACGGACTGACGGATAGGATTGGAGGTGGAAACGGACAAAAGTCACCAGCATGTTCTCCATATAGTTGTAAATCACTGATGCTGCAAATCAGTTTGGCGTCAGAGTCTGGACAATGCTTCTCAGTCCCTCTAGAAAACAGGCAGTCCTCATCTTACAATAGTTCAGATAGTGACCATTCAAGGTTACAACGGCACTGAAAAAAAGCGACTTGTGACCGTTTTTCACACTTAGGACCGTTGCGGTATCCCCCTGGTCACGGGATCAAAAATCGGACGCTTGGCAACTGGCTCCTATTTACGACGGCTGCAGTGTCCCTTTTTGTGACCCTCTGACAAGCAAAGTCAAGAGGGAAGCCTCAGAAAGGCTGGGGTCAATTGTGGTCGTAAGCCGAGGGCCGCCTGTACAGAATGGGGTTGTACCTCTTCAAGTAGTTGGAACAGAGTTGTGAGTTTTAATGGGTTTAATCCAGCCCAGTCTGAAGTATACAAGGCTACAATGGAGCTCTCCACAAATGTTGGGTTTAGCCCTGAAATTTCCTACCCAATCGTCCCTTTTAAGATGACAGAAAGCTGAATTCAGTTCCCCGGGAGTGACGACAGTAACCCTCTTGAATTAACTGAATTTCAATCCAATCGAAACGAGGATATTAAGTTCAACCCAACGTTGTTGTTTTTTCTCTTCCCCCCCCCCCCCACCCATCATGAAGTAGACATCGGCATGTACATTCCAAGATCATGCTAGGGTTACACCCTTTTTAAAAAGCAGATTAATGAACAACGTGCAGGTCCATTCCACGAATGTGCGAGAGACTTTCCTGATTAGTTTCTCCCTCTGATAGGAAAAAAAAGAGCAGGCCAGCTCTTCATAGCTTTCAATTTATTTATTTATTTATTTAAAAAAAGGGTTTTGGCAGCTGATTGGGAATTTTGTCTAGGACGTCTTCTCGGGGCTTCTGAAACAATAAGAAAGAAAAATCAGAATTGTTAGTTTGCTACTGCTGGGCGCAAGGAACTGCAGGCCCCACCACGGAGACTGGCTGCCGGTGCCAAAATTCCTGGGAAGCTTCAGCAAATAAAGAAAGAGCAGCTGCTTGTGGGGTAACGGAGGAGGAGGAGGAGGAGGAGGAGCATGGTGGCTCCTTTCCAAAATGCAGAACTGAGATCCATCTCAGCTGCTGAGGTAACACTGTCAAAGGATAGGAAAGCAAAAACTAGCAGATGCTACCAATGAGAAAGAACAGTTGGAAGGGACCTTGGAGGTCTTCTAGTCCAACCCCCTGCTCAAGCAGGAAACCCTCTACCATTTCAGATGAATAGTTGTCCAATCTCTTCAGGAAAACCTCCAGCAATGGAGCAGCCACAACATCCAGTGGCAAGGCGTTCCACTGGTTAATTGTTCTCACTGTCAGGAAGTTTCTCCTTAGTTCTTAGGTTGCTTCTCTCCTTGATGAGTTCCCATCCGTGGCTTCTTGTCCTGCCCTCAGGTGCTTTGGAGAATGGGTGGGCTCCCTTTTTTTGTGTGGCAGCCTCTCAAATATTGGGACACTGCGATCATGTCACCCCCTAGTCCAGGGGTAGGCAACTTTGTCTCTTTTATGACCGGTGGACTTCAACTCCCAGAATTCCTGAGCCAGCATGAGGGAACTATGGCCCCCTCATGACTCGTGGACTTCAACTCCCAGAATTCCTGAGCCAGCATGGCTCAGCTTGGAAACCTCTCCCTTTCCCCTCAGCATGGCTGGCTCAGGAATTCTGGGAGTTGAAGTCCACGAGTCATAAAAGAGCCAAGGTTGCCTACCTCTGGCCTAGTCCTTCTCTACGTTAGACCAGGCATACCCAATTCCAGCAACTGTTCTTCGTATGTTCTAGCGTGCACCGTTTCAGTAATACAGATAGTCCTTGACTTACAACCATCCATGTAGTGGCTGTTCAGAGTTAACAACAGCCCTAAAAAAAAGGGACTTGCAACTGGTCCTCACAACCCACACATTAACCCCACAGTAACATGATCCAGTTGTGGGCACTCAGCAACTGATAATGTATTTATAAAGGATCCCAGGGTCACGTGATCGCCATTGGCGGCCTGCCCAGTTGTCTTCCAGCAAGCAAAGTCAATGGGGGGGGGCGAGGGGGAGGAAGCAGGATTCGCTTAACGACGGCTCGATTCACTTCACAACCGCTGTGACACAACTGTGGCAAAATAGGTCATAAAATTGAGCGTGACTCACTTGCTTAACAAAGCCGCCCAGAATCGTAGGGCAGCGCAAAAATTTTTTAACCAATGAAGAAATAATAAAAACCGAAATTCTCGTTTCAGTTATGGCCATAAATCAAGGACTCCCTATATCTGAGCAGGCAAAAAAAAAACCTATTTCCAGACAGGCTTTGATCTACCTTGATTACATCTCCTCTTTTATTCATGCCTGGAAAATAGCTCCATATGTTATTACCATTATAAGGATGTTTTGTTGGTATATTTGATACACGTACACCCTTCCCCAATCCCAGGGGACTCTTGGTCGTTTTACAGCAATACTCAGATGGCTAAAAACATCCATGCTCCATTTAAAAATAGAATCCTTCAAAACATATTTATTCATTTGTTTGTTTGTTTGTTGATTTATTAAGAAAGTTTATATGCCCCCCCCAACTCACAAGGACTCCGAGCTGCTTACAAAGATCAAATTCTACTACAAAACCATTTGATGGGGGGGGGTGTCTGTCTCACTCTGGGGACCCCAGAACCACGTCTTCAGGACATTGCCAAAAGAGTGTCAAAGTGAGGAGGGGGACAATTTTATCTCCGCCCGGGTGATTGTTTGTTTGTTTGTTTGTTTGTTTATCAAACTTGTATGCCGCCCTTCCCGTCCAAGGCGACACTAGGCGGCTTTAGAGGCCTGGAATAAAACTGAACAGATTGGCGTGCAAGCCGCCCGCTTGACTTTTATTCTGCTGTTTTCTTTCTCTCCAGGTTTATGTGTGCCCACTTGCCTAACCAGGTTTTGGAAAGCATCAGCCTTATAGACACTCCCGGCATCCTGTCAGGGGCTAAGCAGCGCGTGAGCCGAGGTAAGGTGGAGGAAGGGGGTGGGAGGCTGCCCACGTTCCCCCTTGTCTCGTTGGGAGAACGTGGGCTTTCCTCACCTTGGGAGTCCAGATGCTTCAAAGCCTCCCCAGGGCCGTCCAGTCCAAGGGGTGGAACGTTGGTGGCCCTCAAGGTGATTTAGAGTCGCAGCTCCTGTAATTCCCAACTCTTGATGGGCTAAATCAGGCATGATTTAGACCCAGATTTGCCAGGCTATGTAAGCCATAGTGTCCTTCCACTATGAGCCAGAAGCAGAATTATATCTGATTCTACATCTGATTTTCTGCATATATATATCCTTCTCCTCCTCCTCCTCCTCTTCTTCTTCTCCTTCTCCTTCTCCTCCTCCTCCTCTTCC